ATTCGCAAATCAATAAACATAATCCAGCATATAAACAGAACCAAAGACAAGAACCACATGATTATCTCAATTGATGCAGAAAAGGCTTTTGACAAAATTCAACAGCCCTTCATGCTAAAAACGCTCAATAAATTCGGTATTGATGGAACGTACCTCAAAATAATAAGAGCTATTTATGACAAACCCACAGCCAATATCATACTGAATGGGCAAAAACTGGAAAAATTCCCTTTGAAAACTGGCACAAGACAGGGATGCCCTCTCTCACCACTCCTATTCAACATAGTGTTGGAAGTTCTGGCTAGGGCAATCAGGCAAGAGAAAGAAATCAAGGGTATTCAGTTAGGAAAAGAAGAAGTCAAATTGTCCCTGTTTGCAGATGACATGATTGTATATTTAGAAAACCCCATTGTCTCAGCCCAAAATCTCCTTAAGCTGATAAGAAACTTCAGCAAAGTCTCAGGATACAAAATTAATGTGCAAAAATCACAAGCATTCTTATACACCAGTAACAGACAAACAGAGAGCCAAATCAGGAATGAACTTCCATTCACAATTGCTTCAAAGAGAATCAAATACCTAGGAATCCAACTTACAAGGGATGTAAAGGACCTCTTCAAGGAGAACTACAAACCACTGCTCAGTGAAATCTAAGAGGACACAAACAAATGGAAGAACATACCATGCTCATGGATAGGAAGAATCAATATTGTGAAAATGGCCATACTGCCCAAGGTAATTTATAGATTCAATGCCATCCCCATCAAGCTACCAATGAGTTTCTTCACAGAATTGGAAAAAACTGCTTTAAAGTTCATATGGAACCAAAAAAGAGCCCACATCTCCAAGACAATCCTAAGTCAAAAGAACAAAGCTGGAGGCATCACGCTACCTGACTTCAAACTACACTACAAGGCTACAGTAACCAAAACAGCATGGTACTGGTACCAAAACAGAGATATAGACCAATGGAACAGAACAGAGTCCTCAGAAATAATACCACACATCTACAGCCATTTGATCTTTGACAAACCTGAGAGAAACAAGAAATGGGGAAAGGATTCCCTATTTAATAAATGGTGCTGGGAAAATTGGCTAGCCATAAGTAGAAAGCTGAAACTGGATCCTTTCCTTACTCCTTATACGAAAATTAATTCAAGATGGATTAGAGACTTAAATGTTAGACCTAATACCATAAAAATCCTAGAGGAAAACCTAGGTAGTACCATTCAGGACATAGGCATGGGCAAAGATTTCATGTCTAAAACACCAAAAGCAACGGCAGCAAAAGCCAAAATTGACAAATGGGATCTCATTAAACTAAAGAGCTTCTGCACAGCAAAAGACACTACCATCAGAGTGAACAGGCAACCTACAGAATGGGAGAAAATTTTTGCAATCTACTCATCTGACAAAGGGCTTATATCCAGAACCTACAAAGAACTCAAACAAATTTACAAGAAAAAAACAAACAACCCCATCAAAAAGTGGGCAAAGGACATGAACAGACATTTCTCAAAAGAAGACATTCATACAGCCAACAGACACATGAAAAAATGCTCATCATCACTGGCCATCAGAGAAATGCAAATCAAAACCACAATGAGATACCATCTCACACCAGTTAGAATGGCAATCATTAAAAAGTCAGGAAACAACAGGTGCTGGAGAGGATGTGGAGAAATAGGAACACTTTTACACTGTTGGTGGGATTGTAAACTAGTTCAACCATTATGGAAAACAGTATGGCGATTCCTCAAGGATCTAGAACTAGATGTACCATATGACCCAGCCATCCCATTACTGGGTATATACCCAAAGGATTATAAATTATGCTGCTATAAAGACACATGCACACGTATGTTTATTGCAGCACTATTCACAATAGCAAAGACTTGGAATCAACCCAAATGTCCATCAGTGACAGATTGGATTAAGAAAATGTGGCACATATACACCATGGAATACTATGCAGCCATAAAAAAGGATGAGTTTGAGTCCTTTGTAGGGACTTGGATGCAGCTGGAATCCATCATTCTTAGCAAACTATCACAAGAACAGAAAACCAAACACCGCATGTTCTCACTCATAGGTGGGAACTGAACAATGAGATCACTCGGACTCAGGAAGGGGAACATCACACACAGGGGCCTATCATGGGGAGGGGGGAGGGGGGAGGGATTGCATTGGGAGTTATACCTGATGTAAATGACGAGTTGATGGGTGCAGCACAGCAACATGGCACAAGTATACATATGTAACAAACCTGCACGTTATGCACATGTACCCTACAACTTAAAGTATAATAATAATAAATAAATTAAAAAAAAAATTATCTTGAACAGTTAAAAGACTTTGCAAGCTCAAAATTGACTACACTAGACTCAGTAGCTAAAGCTTTATTTTTTCACAATTGTGCCCAGGTTCTGAGGTAATTCCTGGCTTAAAGAATGAGTCCTTTCTGGTTTGATATCTCTGTGACTTTTGTCATTTATTGATTTTCTTCCTTTCTGTGAACAACTTCTGACTTTCTGTCTTGAATTTTCTTTTCTCTGAGAACCTGGGAAGTTACTTTTGGTAAAATTCAAAACCAGAAATATTGGCCATTTGGTCTGGCTAGTCTCATAGTAAGAGGGCAATAGTTAAAAGTCAGCTTAATTAAAAGTGGATATCCAAGATTTTTTATATATATATATAACCATATATATATATATATTTTTAAAAGACCTTCATATATATTTTTTCTCTTCTTGGGTGGTGTTTTTCTACAAAAAAAGATCTTTTTATTCTCAGTCAACTGAATTGTTTTTCTCAATTTTGTCTTCTTCCCACTCTTCATGCCCATATGAGAGGACCCAAGATCATTTCTAATGGCTGGGAACTCCTTGGGGAAAAAAAAAGACACCACAGGTTTTGGAAAAAACCTTTGTTTTCCTCAAGGAACCCCAGGAATTAGAATCTAGGTAAAGTACGGAGACATGTGGAGTTAGCCAAATGCCCTGGCTATGCTGGAAAGAGTCAGACTTTATCTGCACTTCTGTCTGGTGTTCTAGGCTCCACATCTAGTACATAATTAAAATTACTTACCAGGTTTTTCAACAAAAATAAAAATTGCTAAGAGTTAACATTGTACTATGTAATTGAGACTACTGAAAAAACAGTTTTACATGCAAGGTGTGTGAGGAAAGTGAAATGTGCTTTTGGTAAAAGATTTTAAGAAGACATGGGAATGTAATTTTTTTTTGCCTAGATTGAAGGGATAAAGGATTGTTTTAAGTTAAATAGAATAAAGCTGAAGGTTTGATAAAGTTTTAGAAGGTTTGTGAACAATTTTGTAAAAAAAAAAAAATAATACTCTGTGTGTGAACATATTGGCTATATTTAAATATGTATTATCCAGTTTTCCCATACATTGAACATTGGAATAATAGCACAACAGGGTTTTCTTAGAGCACTGATATGCTTTTATTTTTAAAGGGTTATAAAACATTTATGAGTATTTCACCTTATGATCAAACTGATTAAGATTGAATAGATTTTTCTATAAGGTTTTATTAAAGATTGGGGTTGACATTAATGATACACTAATGCAAGGTGAGATTGGGCTTTCTCTCTTGAACAAGATTTTAATGTAATATTAAAGGGCAATGCAATATTTTTATTTGTCTTTTGAATAAACTACAGGAAAAATAAGAGAAAGACAAGAGACAGATTGTTTGGAAAGCTAAGTCTTCCCTCTGTCAATTAGTTTTGCCTTTCTAAAATTTTTGAGTCATAATTTTGGCTAAATGAATGACTTATGGTGACCTGGAACTCTATTTTATAATATCAAGTGTTTTAAAGCACTAACATATTGACAGCCTTCCCCAAATCAAATTTCAGCTTCAAAATTGTCTTTTGTGACCTCTAACTTTGGGATGCTACAGAGTGCCCCTGAAACATCAAAAAGAGAGGTAAACAGGATTATTTGACATGTTAAGTTACATGGAAAGTATTGTCAAAATAAAAAAAAAATGTTTAATTTTCATCAGGTTACAGTTTAATGAATGTTAATACACGTTCCAAAATTGTATGGGATTTCTAAAATTCTAATATGTTTGAGTATATCCGTCAATCATAATTATGGTTAAGTTATTGTTGACCACAGAAATAACCAAATTTCCTTGTCAATTGTATCTTTAACTGTGACTATTTAAAGTCATTTCCACAGCTAATTGCTTAATGCTGATGCAGTTTTTGAAAACTTTAAGCATGCAAAATCCTAGAATGTGGTGTCTTTCAGGAGTTTCATGAAAGAATGGAAAGGATCCTGAAAAGATTGCTAGAATACGGGTTTCTGGTAAATTTAGAATCACATCATTTGAAGCGGGTAAAAATTCCTGGAATTTTAATAAAAAAGACTGACTACTTTATAAAACTGCTACCCTGAGTAGCACAAAAATTAATTGAATACAAAGTAAATACATTGCCAGATTTTCATGCTAAATCAGCCAATACTGAAATTGTTTATACATACAATTTAAATAAACTCCATGGTCTAAGTCAAATTACCTATGATAACCCATCAGTTATCAGTGCTATGCACCTAAATTGGATAAATAACCAGTATTCAAAAGGGCATAAGTTAATGTTAAACATGGGCTCATGAAGAACCAGGATGGACACCTTGTCCTTCCTGAGTACTTAAAGCTTTTGTTATTAAAAGTTCCATATTCCATGACTCTTCATGGAAAAGATAAACTTATCCAGATTAAGTATATGTTGGTGTGATAACTTCTAAATTGCTAAATTAGTTTAAGACCAATGTTTGGTTTGTGAAACCCATATTCCTGGGAAGACAGTTTCAGGTACATTTAGCTACCTGATGGGCCGTTTAAACATTTATAGAAGTATCTCATTGAATTGTGATTTTCAATGCATATTTTCTGGTCGTATAAAAGTTTTCCCATGGGGCTGATGTTATGACAGTAGATCATTATGCCACGGTGTATTTTCCCCAGGTAAAGAAAGCTTTTGATGATTCACTGACTGAGGACTCACAATCCAGAACCTGAAGATTGGATCTTCTGAGAACATATGAGAAAGACTGCCCTTGCCATCCACACTGCAGCAAGACTTTAAGACCTTGAACCTTGGGTTCATAATCTTACAATCCCTGAGAAGGCTCCCTCCACACTCTTGGAACTTCAAAATTTCCTTAAGGTAAAGCTAATCAGGGATGTTTCTCCCTCCAAAAAGATGGCATCCTTGTTGTGAACAGCATTTCCCAGGATCATGGATTAAGACTTCTAGTGTCATGAGACTCTTATCTTTGAATATTTTTTCCTTGTTTATGCCTCTATGGAAAATAGAAGTGAAAAGGGGATCCATCGTGTGCACTCATGGGGTATACTTTCATTTGTGAAGGATTTTGCAGCCAGCCTTATACATAGATAACCTTACACTTGATAGATGAAAGAGGAAGACTCAGCATAAGTAAGAAACTTTAGTGGTAGATTTAGTGCCCCATAATCAGTCAGAAACAAAACGTTGGTTTACTCCTCTTTACCCACACCATGGGTTAAAGAGAACATTGTCAGGAGGCCTTCACTCTTCTAGAAGCACTTCATTTGTTAGGTCTTTTGTTCCATAGTTTGGAGTAAAAGAGGCAATGATTATAAATGAATACCTCATTATATGCTCTATAGAAGATTCTACTTGAAAGGCCATGGTACATAACAGACTTTAAAATCTCTTGTGAAAGTTATGGTAAATAATAGAATTGCTCTAGATTACTTACTGGCTAAACAGAAGTATCTGTGCAGCTGCTGGCACTTGTGGTCTATGGAGAAATACATCAAATGTAGATTATAGAGATTCAGTTGTAGGGGATAAACTAAGAGACTGCTTAGTTAAGCAAGTAGACTGTTTATCTAGCTAATTCTCTGATCTATTTAATTTTAGGTGGTTTGGTTTATAGGGATCCTGGCTAAGGAGCATACTCCAAACTCTTGGTGTTATCCTCCTGATAGTCATAACAGTAGTCTCCCTGGTGCACTATATCCTCTCAAAAGTTTTAAATGTTTGCATGCGGCCATCTCCAGAATATCAAATGGTCTCTCTTTAACTGGAATGACAAGAGCTGAAGGAAATGTGAGACCATGAGAGCACTGTACCCTATGAATGACATGCTGAGACCAAAAATCCAAAATGATGGTAACTGAGAGTGCTGCTAAGACCTTAAGGTTTGGACACACTTTTGCCTAAGTGAGAACCTGACCAAAGGGGGGGAATTTTTAAACAAAATTATGGGATGCTATTGTTTTGGACTGAGGTAATGCACTAGGCCCCAGTGGGTCAGACCAAACCAAAATGGAGTCACTCATGTTAAATGTAACATAGTCACACTAAGACTTGGAGAAAACACATATCCAGAACATACCAGGTCCTGTTTTTTGTTTCCTTGTTTGTTTGTTTTATCCTGTTAACAAGACATTCCAGCATAAGGAGGTACCTTCTACTCTAACCCTTAAAAAAATAATAGCCTGAAGTCTTTGTTCCCACCTTGCAAAACCCACTGTTCTACTGTTTCCAAGAGGGTTTCAAGACCAAATAAATACATTTACAATGGTGATAGTGACATCAATGACTAAAGTTTTGGTCAATCTCTCAAAATTGAGAAGATGACCAAAAGGGAAGAATTGCTCAATCAAATTTAGCCTAAAGCTGCCTCCTTACATATTTTAATTTCAATCTAAAGGCTTTTCTGTACATTGTGAACAAGTGGAGGTGTAAATACATCATAGCCTACACTTGTGCCAATCACCAACTTTTAGCCAATCAAATGTAGCCAACTGTTCAACTCATGTTTAAATGAGGCAAAAGCCAAGCTGTAACCAGTCCAGCTGTTTCTGTACCTCACTTTCATTTTCTGTAAGTCACTTTCTTTTCCTGTCCATAAATCTTCTTCTACCACATGACTGCACTGGTGTCTCAGAGCCTACTCTAGCTCTGGAGGCTGCTCAATTCACAAATTGTTTGTTGCTCTATTAAACTCCTTTAAATTTAATTTGGCTGAACTTTTTCACTTATCAACACAATGGAGTACTATTCAGTCATAAAAAGAATGACATTCTGTCATTTGCAACAAATAGATGGAACTGGAGACCTTTCTGTGAAGTTAATTAAGCCAGGCACAGAAATTCTAACATCATATGTTCTCACTTATTTATGAGATCTAAAAATAAAAACAATTGAACTCATGGAGATAGAGAATAGAAGGATCATTATCAGAGGCTGTGAAGGGTAGTGGAAGGGTGAGGTGAGTGGGGGTGGAGGGAAGTTGGGGATGGTTAATGAGTGTAAAATAGAGTGAATAAGATCTACTATTCAATAGCACAACAGGATGACTATACTCAATAATAATTTAATTGTACATTTCAAAAATAACTAAAAGAGTATAATTGGATTGTTTGTAACACAATGATAAATATTTAAGGAGATGGACACCCCATTTTCCATGATGTGATTATTACGCATTGCATGCCTGTGTCACAACATCTCATCTACCCCATAAATATATATATATATACACATGTATACACATATATATTTATAGTACTCACAAAAGTTAAACATGAAAAGCATAAATAGAATTCTGGGTTAAGGGAGTGGCAGTGAAATGTCCCTGAAGTTAGAATCAGATTGATGTGCTCATGTAGCAGAAAGAAGACTAGAGTGGTAAAATAGTAAAAGTAGTAAAAATAAAATGTTATATCATATCATTTATATCATTTAAAAATGTTTAAAGACCTCTCTGACTTCAGTGTGGAGAGCAGACATGGAAGCTCAAGAGTGGAATCAAGATCATTCAGAGACTATTGTTGTTGGCTAGATGAGAGATAGTTAAGATATTAGACCAATATGGTTTGCAAGGAGAGGATGCCAAACATTTGTGCTCCAGGGTATTTCTTGTTTCCTGGCAAAGATCTTCCTTCACCACCCCCATCTTATCTTTATCTTTATCTTTTTTTTTTTTTTTTTTTTTGAGACAGGGTCTCACTTTGTCACCCAGGCTGACATGCAGTGGTACAATGACTGCTCACTGCAGCCTCAACTTCTGGGCTTCAATGATCCTCCCACCTCAGCCTCTGAGTAGCTGGGAGCACAGATGGGGGCCATGACACCCAGCTAATTTTTGAATTGCTGATAGAGACAGGGTTTCACCATGTTAAAACACCCAGGCTAGTCTCAAACTCCTGAGCTCAGCAGTTCACACATTTTGTCCTCCCAGTGTTGGGATTAGAGGCGTGAGCCACTGTGCTCAGCCCCTTCTTATCTTTTTAAAGACATTGATAGCCTTTTAGGTTTCTGAAAAAGTCTCATAAAGTTCAAATTTTTCTTTGATGAGATTAATGTACAAATAATGTTTGAGAACTGGGGACTGCCTTCATAGATAGATAGAGCGGCTTTTCATCTAAATCCTTGCTGAAGCGGAACTGTGTAACAGTCTATACCTCCATAATGTGTCACAAAATATTAAAAGAAATATAAGGAACTATGAGTATTTTATGGACTAATGTCATTTGACAAAGGCATAGCCTCAATTTTCCTCTGCTGCATCCCCAAAGCCACAGAACATTTTGACAATTGCAGGACACATACAGTCATGGAAGTAATTAATAGAAAATTTAAGCCTTATTGTATTTTTTCTTTGAAATATTCCATTTTAAGTAAATGTAAGCGTGATATAAACTAAGACATCTATTATAATAACAATGTATGTTTTCCATAATCACTATCAATTAAAAACTATTTTAGACTTTAAAAGACAAAGTGGTGATTGCATTTTACTTGACTATGTACAGAATTTTATGTTTTCTCACAAACTTGTAGTAAAATAATACCTAATTCAGGTTTGAATCATTTACAAAGATATAAGAAAACACCTAATTCATTTTTTATCCCATCACTACATTTTGTCAATAATTTACATCTTGATGTGAGTTGGGAAGAAGAATTTCCCTCCTTACAAATAGTTTGAAGCCAGGGCACTCATAAATAGGAATTTGTAATGTTTGAATGTGTCCCGCAAAAATTCATGTGTTGAAAATGTAATCCCTCTGCACTCATTAACGGATTAATGTTGCTATCAATGGGAGTGGGTTTATCATCATGGAAGTGGCTGTGTTTGAGAATGGCTGTTATAAAAGTAAGCTGTCTCTGGCTCTCTTGCTTTTGTCTTCTTGCCATGTGATTCCTTCTTCCATGTTACAATGCAGCAAAAGGCCCTCAGCAGATATTGACACCATGCTCTGAGACTTCCCAGCCTCCAGAGTCAGGAGCTAAATAAACTTTCATGTTTTTTACATTACCCAACTTGTGGTAGTCTGCTATAATAAGAGAAAATGGACTAAGACAGTAACTTTAATAAGAATCGTGGGGAAAATAATTTGCAGCACTTTAAGAAATTCTGATTGGATAACCATAAATATTAGGAAGGTACTAGGCACATGTTGGGAAAAAACTTAAAGAGAAGGATCAATAAAAGGAAAGGGTGACATCACCTAGATGATGAAGGTACAACAAATTAGAGGCAGGATGTTTTGGTATAAATAACGTGGGCAGTTGATTGTTAGCTGGCTCATTTGTTGTTGTTGTGTTTGGGGGAGCTTAATATGCAAAAGAGTTTCATGATTGGTAAATATGTGAATGTTAGTTATTTTTATTTTGAGAATATGCCAGGAAGAGAGTGATTGCACAGATGCATCATTAGAGTTTGAGAGCTACTATTCTAGGAAAAGCATAAACCAAATCTCCCTTTTCACCATCACCCAGTCCAATATACTGTAGAAGAATCTGTGACTTCAGCATATATTCAAGGACACAGCTGGACCAGATATTACAAGGTGGCATTTTAGAGTAAGAAATATAAATTGGCCTGGGTTCTGCAAAACTTCTTTAAAAAAAAAAATACAAGAGGGAATTTATTAGAATAATACAGAGGTTCTTGCAGAGATTCCAACAGCTGCAAGGGGTCAACAGCTAGAATCATGCCTTTCTGAAGAACAGAGTATGCTGTAACCACAAACTTCTAATTCTGGGTTCTGCACCATCAGGAAGAGAATATCCTAGAGGACAGTTCTCCTTGTATACTGCATAAGGGACTAGAATGTGGATTCATTTCTGCTTGCTTTTTGATCCTTATAGTCCTTTATGCTGGC